AGTATTTCAAAAGAACTGTGTGACTGACCTTTTCTGATTCAGCCTCAGACCTCACACTTCATCATTTCCACCATATTCTACTGATGACAAGGAAATCATAAAGGGCAGACGAAGTTCATGGGAAGGGAAATTACATTCCATCTCTTCATGTGAAGGTGGTAAGGTCATATTGCAGAAGTGCTTTTGGGGTGGGAACATAGTGCTACACTCATCTTTGGAAAATACAAACTGCCAAAGTAGGATTATACCTCTTTATAGCTAGTCACATACTGCATAATGACCTTTCAGTCACTGGGGACCACATACAGGTAGTCCCATAGAATTATAATGAAGCTGAAAAATCCCTACCACTTAGTGACACTGTAGTTGTCTTAACATCATAGCACAGTACATTACTCACATTTGTGGTGATATTAGTGTAAACCAATCTATTGCACAGGGGCTAGGGGTGTCATTTAGTGGTAGAGCATTTGTGTAGCATGTGTGAGGCCCTGGAATTCATCCCCAGCACCACACAGACACAAAAATATAGTAATGCAAAATTATATAGTAATGCACAAAAATATAGTAATACTTGGTGGTAAAATAAACAACATGTTTCTGGTTTATATATTTACTAGACTATTTATTTTAGTATTTATTTATTTATTTATTTTTAAGACAGGGGTCTTACTATGTGGTCCAGGATGACTCAAACTCCTGAGCACAAATGATCCTCCTAATTTAGCCTCTGGAATACCTGGGACTACAGGTGTGCACCACTGTGCCCACTTGTTATTTTAAAGTGTAAACCTTCCTACTTAAAAAAATTAAAAAATTTACTGTAAAACAGTATGCTATATTATGCCAGCAGCAGCCTTATCCATTGAATTATTTTGATTGCACCAAGGGGACACATTAAGTGATCAACCTAGATCATATAGGTCTGTGTAAGTACACTCAATGATGTTTGCACAATGACTAAATTGCCCACCTGATGCCCTTCTTAGAAGCTATTCCTAGTGCAAAATGACACATGATTGAAGTTGTAGCCCAAGTGGTTTGCTCTGACCAATGAAATGCAAATAGAAGTGATTTGTGTCACTTTGGATTCAGGTTTTAAAGATTATTGTATAAGTTATTACATTTTATTTTACTGCCTGCCATTATAGAAGCACAAACTGAAATGAAGCTCCTGTCATACTAGGACCTTAAGTGACTATTATGAATAGAAATGTCCCCCCCCCACAACAACCAGTGTTGGACATGTATACATGAGGAATAAACTTTTGTTGTTTTAGGACACTGAACTTTGGGGATTATTTGTTACTGCAGCATAACTTAGCCTATGTGGACCCCCCTTTTGTATCAGGGATTAAACCCTGGGGTGATTAACCACTTAGCCACACCCCAGCCCTTTTTAAAAATATATTTTGAGAAAGGGTCTCACTAAGTTGCTTAGAGCCTTGCTCAGTTGCTGAGGTTGACTTTTTTTTTTTTTTTAAGTACTAAGGATCAAACCCACTGAGCTATATCTCTAGTCCTTTTTATTTATCTATTTTTATTTTGACACAGGGTCTTACTAAGTTGTTGAGGCTGGTCTCAAACTTGAGATCATCCTGCCTCAGCCTCCAGTTTCTGGAATTACAGGTGTGTGCCATCATGCCTGGCAACAAGTGGTGATAATTCTTATATGCTGTTCTGCACCTTGATTTTTTTTTCATTTACCAATGTATCTTGGAGAGTATTTATATAAGTACAGGAGTATTTATATATATAAATATATATATTTATATAAATAATATATATATTTATTACTGGAACTAGAATCCAGGGTCTAGCATGCTAGGCAAGAGTTCTACCAGTTAGCTACATCCCATCTCATCCACACTTTTCTTTTCAATAGCTACACAGTATTCCTGTAAAGGAAAGGGTGAAATTTTTCTTAACCAGTTACTATTAAGGACAATTAATACAATCTATCTTTTGTGTAGTGCCACAGTGAATAACCTTGAGCATTTCTTCTTCTGTCTGAGTGCAGTAATATTCGTAGGTTAGATTCCTAAAATGCATATCTCAGATGATTGACAGATTTCCCTTTTAAAAGACATCAGCTTGGCTGTAAGTAGAGAATGGCTTGAAAAGCCAGAACCTGAGAGTTATGACACCTTGACTCCTTATCAATTGCCAAGTTCTGTTCATCCCAGCTCCATGACAGCTCTCAATCTGTCCATTTGGATGCACACCCTGGCTGCTGTCCCAGAATAAGGAACTATCATTCCTCTCATGATTCCTCCTAAAAGGTCTACCTCCTATCTTAATTAAGATACTTACCTGCAAGAAAGTCAAGCCAGGCTGAGTGTAGTGGCTCATGCCTGTAATCCCAGCCACTGAGGAGGCTGAGATGAGACAGGAGGATTGTAAATTTGAGGACAGCCTCAGCAACTTAGTAAAGCCCTGTCTCAAAATTAAAAAAAAATTAAAAAGGGCTGGGATGTGGTTCATAGGTTAAGTGCCCCTGGGATTCAATCCCTGAAAAAAAAAAAAAAAAAAAAAAAGCCAGGTTCAGAAAAACTTAAGCAACCAATGACTTATTGAACAGCTCCAGTGGTGCTTGCTAATTCCCTTTCCCCAGAAGGGCCTGGCTTGACCTCCTCCCTCTATCCCCCACAATGCGTTCTAAATGTTGCCCCTGATGTGTTGATCTGTTGCTTGGCTTCAAAGACCTGATTGGGAACATGCTACAGCTGCCAGGAATCTAGGAAAGGAAGTTTTATTTTCCCTCTTTGATCTCCCTAGTGGAAAGCAGAACCTGCCTCTGTATCACATAGGATTTCTTCCAAATAGATGATGAAAATGAAGATCTGAAGATGCTGGGCACCAAAACAACAGGTGACCACCAATCAGGGGTAGTCAGCTCCCACAAAGCAGCCCAGAGCCCTTTGCGGATCCTCCTCTGCTTAAAATCTCCTTGAAGACTCCTTGCTAACATTAGAATGAAACTTAAACTCTTTACCCAACTTCCAATGATATCCCTGATCCAGAAGCCTCCTAAGGCTTTAGCCTCATTTACTTTCCCCCATATACACCACAATGTGCACCTTTAAACTCTAGCCCCAGGCTCTGTCCTCAGGTGCTGAATACCTGAGCCCTCTGACAGTTCTCTACAGATCTTTGAACAAGCAGCATCCCTCTATGCTGAAGGCTTTTTCCTTCCTCACTCCATTAATTTGAAACCTCCATGTTCTCATTAACCCAGGGGTCTCACTTGAACACAAAAATCTTCACTGCCCTTTGTCCCCTTGGTCACTCTAAACTCCCAAATGTGTCCTAGATACATCCACTTTTCTCCATCTCTGCTGCCACCCTGTTAATCTAAGCCACCATCCGCTCTCTCCGGACATTCTGTAGCCTCCCAGTTGCTCTCTGCTTCCACTCTTGGCTAAGAGACCTTTAGTCAGAGTAATCTTTTTAAAGTGTAAATCATTCTTTCAAAGGCCTTATGTCTTACTTAGGAAAACCGACTCCTCATTATGATCTAAGAAGTCTTCCTTGATTTAGCCAGTTCTATTGCTACTTCTGTCTCACGTTCCTCCAGGGAGATTTTGCACTTGCTATTGCCTCTGCTGGGTCTACTCAAATATCACACCCTGAGGCCATCATGACCCTTATCTTTATTGAACCTAAGTCATGGAGCACATGCTAATAAGCACATGCTCTACCACAGGCTAAGTCCCCAGCTCCTGGTCTTAACAGCACTTAGCACTCTCTGAAACTATCCATTTAATTGTTTATTTACAGGTTTATTACCTTTACTTTCCCACCTCCCCTTCAAGCATGTAAGCAGGTAGCTTGGCTCTCTTGCTGACACCACTGTACTCCTCAACACCTGACTTGGTACTGGGACAACGCGGGTACTTTGTAAGTATTTTTTGGGTGAATGAATAGGGATCAGAGAAGCCCAGTCGAACAGACTCCGCCTTACTGGCTGACTTTGGACAAGTCTCCGTTTCCTGCTGTGTAAAGTGGGGGTGCAGGAAGTGGGGTGTTGAGCTAGAAGTGTTGATGAGCTGTGAAATTTGGGCCTTGTTTTCCCCTTAGTCTTCGGCCTGCAGCCAGCCACTCAACCTCCGGCGCCTCTGCTCCCCACCTGTAAAATGGGTGTGAGCTCATCCCAATGTCTAGGGGTGGTAGCGCGGCCTTATAAGGCAACAGAGGCCGAGGGCGGGCGAGGCAGTGAGGGTGGAGAGAAATCACAACATCCGGCTGCGGAGGCGGGGTGGGGGTGCCAGCGGCCGCGGAACCCGAGGCAGGGGAACCGCTAAGGAGGCCAGCAGTCTCCCCTCGGCCTCCCATCGCTTCCGACGTACGCCCTCTCCAGGATGGGCCGACCCAGGGGGACAAACGGCCTCAACCAGCTCGCAGCCGGCACGCAGGAGGCCCAACACCCCGAGAAGCAGCCCAAATAAACCCCTCGAAGAGCCAACCGCCGAGCCCCAGGCTCCCAGGCCACACCCCCGTCTGAGAGCCCAATCAACGTGCTTCTGTGAATAACCGACGCTTCCTTCATTCAGTTACACATCCGGCCTCCTGGGCGTGACCCACGGTCCCCACCTCCGACTCCCCGACCGAGGGCTCGGCCCTAATTGACAATTCGACGTCCTACCCAGGTCTAGAAATTCGAACCTCGGAGCCCAACCCCGCCCTCAGACCAACCAGGAAGGGGTGACGCGATCAGTCCCGTTCCCCCCCCCCCCGCTCCTCTGAGCCAATCCCTGGCTCTGGAGGCTGTGACGAAGAAGAGGGGGGCTAATGGGAAGACGGCGCGGGGAGCATTCCCTCGGTTATTGGTCGAGTAAAGTAAACAGAGGGCGGGGTGGGGCGGGCCGGCGCCCGGGTGGCCCCCGGGAGGGGGCGGAGAGTGCGCGGCGGGCGGCGGCGGCTGCCGGGGAGGCCCGGGAGGCCGCGGCGCGGTCACTGCAAGCCGAGCCGAGCCGCGGCGCGGTCACTGCAAGCCGAGCCGAGCCGCGCCGCGCCGCGCCGCGCCAGTCGCACCCGGCCCCGGCTCTACAGAGCTACCCCGGCCGGCGGCGCGGCCCGGTGGGCCCGGCGGCGCTGCAGCCCATGGAGCTCGAGAACATCGTAGCGAACACGGTGCTACTCAAGGCCCGGGAAGGTGAGGCAGCCGGGCGGGCGGCAGGGCCCCGGGATCGTGTGCACACGGCCTCACAGCACAGGCTGGAGCCCCAGCCGCCGGATCTCCTAAGTCCTAAGGGCCGCGGGCCCCGCGCCCCGAACCCCAGGCTGGCACGAGCCCTTCCGGCCCCGTCGCCCTTCTCCTCCGCACCTGCCCCCGGGAGCTGGGGCCCAGGAAGGGGCGGGGGTCAGACCGCCGCCCTCGCAGCAATGGGGGAGGGAAGGGTTGTGAAGGGGTGATGGTAGGAGAGAGGAAGGAAGAGGGAAGGGTGAGACCTGAGCCCCAAGAGAGCCTCTCTCTCAGGCCTCTTCCAGGTGAAAGGCCAGAAGATGCCCCACGTGCCCTGGGCCCAGACCTCTGAACTGCACAAAATTGGCTTTCCTTAAAGGTCAGAGAATGAATGAACAGTTGCGTAGCACAACTCACCCGACTTGGGGAAACTCCTGGTCATATAAACTACCAACAGCACTGTCACTTGTTAGGAACCCCAGGACACTGAAAACCGGTGAATGGGTCATGGTTTTGCTCTCAGGAAGCCCATGACCTACTGGAACAAACGCAGATAGAAATAAGTAGGAGCCCATGCTGGGCTGGTTAGGCTGGGGAAGCCATTCTGGTGGACTTAGTGTGTGTGTATGTAGCTCCTCATGGCTTGCACTTCAGATGTTATCAGGCACCTGCAATGTGAGGGTCCTGGGAGACACTGGACCAGACCTGACCCACACTGCCCTGTGGTCAGTCTGCCCCTCACCTGCCATAGTCCTCCCCAGTAACATAATCAACAGACACCAGTACTGTGCCCCATCCTGTCCAGGGTGCTGGACAAAAAACAGTGAACAAGTCCTTTCTTTTTAGAACTCTAGGGCCAGGAAATCCTGCGGTTTTTCCACTTTTTGCTGGGCTTCCAGGCTGAAAGAGTCGTCTGCTTTGCCTTTCTGTCCCATTTTACAGCTGGGAAAAAAGGCTCAGACCAGAGACTAATCCCAGATCACAGCAGATTGTAATTGCCCAAGGCCTAGGACACAGAATGCCCAGGACTGTCCATAGGGAAGCTCAGAGGAGCTCCTATCTGGGTGTAGTACCTGGTGTCCTCTGCCTACCTACCCAGTGTGTGTCACCCCAGTGAGATGCTGTCTGGAAATAGGATCAAGCTAGTGCCTTGGGAGCTTGTCTTATCTCTTGTCCCTTACCGAGCCCAGGGGCTGGGCCTTCCTCTCAGCCTCTGGGGGCATCTGCCGATTCTGTTCTGCCTCGTCATCCAGCCAGCCAGGGAGGAGGGGTGGGGAGAGCCCTGCCAGGCGTCCCTTCCTAGGGCTATAGCCAGTTCAGGCCTCAAGCCTGCTGAGGGCATTGCCTTGCCTGGCTACACGGTGTGGGCATCTTTGTCAAGGTCTGTTGGACCCTAAGCAAGGTGCAGGATTGTATGGCCAGATGGGTCTGATGCCTACATTAGGGAATCCTTATCCTGGCTGGTTCTGCCCCTCCCATCTTCATGGCTCTAGGCAAGTCTCTTCTTCCTCAACTTCACTATCCTTTTTTGTGGAATGGTTGGGTGGGATTAGAAAGACTAAAGGATACCCTGTTTGGCACTGGGTTCTGAACCCAGACCCATGGAAGAGCTGTGCTAGCTGACAGCTTGGGTCTAGGATCCAGGACCTTTGACAGCTTCCCAAATGATCCGAGTGACCTAAGTCGTTTGGGAAACCCTTGTCATATGTATACAATTGGCACTTAATAAATGCCAGGCATATTTGAGGTGGAAAAGGAACTTGAGTTGTGGGAGCTGTATTCAAATCCTGCCACCATCACTTTCTGGCTCTGGGATCTTGGTCAAACTGTTTCTTTACTCAGAATGTATTTTCTCATGAAATTGGGCCCAATTTGGTAGGACTGCTGTGAGGGTGAAGTGGAACAACACTGGGGGTGTGAGCTTTCCCTTGTATTGCCTTCCTTTTCCAGGTGCCCATAAGCATTGGGAGAGTTCTAGGTAGGGTGGAGAGGAGCCCTGTGGAGTCCTCTGTCAGTTCCAGGACAGGATATTTGCATGTGACTCTTTTCTGCTGCCTTGATGTGGCTGGGAGGAGGGGGAGGAGGAAGTAACTAGTGGGGGAAGCAGGACATGGAGGGTTGGGTGAGGGACCCGTGGGGGTGGGGGAGGAGTTCCCCTTCTGGGGAGGCCTTGCCCTGGGTTAGGGGTGGAGGTTTATTGCTCACTCACAGTGAAGCAATGACTGTGGGGTACAAATGCAGGCTGCAGAAGGGCCACCATCAGGTTTCTCAAGGGGCCTCTGCAACACTTCCTCCTCCAGGCAGCTTCAGTCAGGGAACCCATTGAGGGACTCAGCCCTGCTCCGCCCCCCAAGGCAGCTCCTCCACCTATACCTACCTCCATCCAGGCTAGATGGAGATAGGGATGGGGAACCTGAAGGGAAACTGAGGTTAGAAAAGGCAAGTGGTTGCTAAGGTTGCCACTAAGTTGTTGGACCTGGGCCCACTACTTGCTATAGCCTCCTGAGTGCTGGATACAGACTCCTGACCACTCTCATAATACCTCTGAAGGTAGCTTTGGACTTGAAAGACATAAAGAGAAATTGAGGGTCATCAAGTGCAAGTGATGGGCCAAGTGTGAATTGGAGATCCATTCCCAAGTCTGAGAGGCTAAGACTCAGGCCCCTCCCGCCATTCTGAATCTGATAGCCCACAGGCCACATCTGGCTGGCTCTCTGACATGTTTTATTTATTTGGCTGCAGCAGTTTTTTTGTTTTGTTTTGGGTACCAGGGATTGGACTCAGGGATGCTTAACCACTGAACCACATCCACAGGCCTATTTATTTTTTATTTTGAGACAGGGTCTTGCTAAGTTGCTTAGTGTTTTGCTAAGTTGCTGAGGCTGGCCTTGAATTTGTGATCCTACTGTGTCAGCCTCCCAAGTTGCTGGGATTATAGGCGTGTACCACCCCACCCGGCTTTCCCCCGCCCCCTCAATTTTTAATCAATGGAACCAGCATTTCATGTGGTAGTCTAGATTTCTAGCTGCTTTTGAAAATTCAGAAGAACTGGCCAGAGTGGGCCAGCATTCTGTCTAGCAACAACCAATAAATCATCTGGAGTTGTGTTATAGCTGCCCATGGTGGAAGGGGCATTCCCTGGTGCCTCTTCCAATATGAGTAGCTACAACATCACACTCCCCACCACTCTCTATTGCCTCACATCTGGCCCACATTTTCCCTACCTGTTGGGTTCTGAAGGCATTTCAGCTGCTACTGGGATGTCAGCAGCTATAGACAGGAGATCAGCTAGGTAAAATGAGGCAAGCATCAGGACCGGGAAAGCCCCTGTGTGCAAGGCAGAAGAGGGGGAATCCTGAGTGCCAGCCCTCATGCTGCCACCTTGCTTATGGGCAGAGAGAAGCACAAAGGATAAAACTCTGATGCTCTCCTGATAAAGGCCTGGGAGCTTCTCTGGTGACACAGGCTGCTGTCTGCCCCTGGAGTCTCTCAAGCTTGTCCCACATGACCTGGAATTGTTCTCTTATGGGCTTTGGCTTCCCACCATTCTGACACCCTTCTCTACTTTATTCACCTGGGAAACTCCTACAGACTGGCTGGGAAAAACAATTGAAGCTGAGCTCCTTGCTGGTGTGGTCTCGCTGCCCCTCTTGGCTCTCCCAGCCCCTAACTGGAGGGCCCAGGAGGACCATGTGTGTTTTGGAACATAGCAAGGGCATGCTAGAGTGTGGGGAGGAAGGTCTCCCAGGCAGCCTGTGCCCTGAAGGCCTTGGGACCACTCTGGTGATTGAGTGGAGGCGTGCTGGCAGCCTGACTCAAATGAGACCCAGCATCTGATTGCTTCTACAGGTGGTGGTGGAAATCGAAAAGGCAAGAGCAAGAAATGGCGGCAGATGCTTCAGTTCCCCCACATCAGCCAGTGTGAAGAGCTTCGGCTCAGCCTCGGTGAGGCCCGGGTGAACTGGGGGCTGATGGAATGGAGGGGACCAGTAATGCTAGGGGAGCCTCCTCTGAGACTTTGCCCTACAGCATAGCGGCAAAGTTAGAGGGTCCAGTGACCAGGAAGGTTGAGGCTGCACCACCCAGTCCAGTTTCAGTTCCTGGGCTTGAGATGGGTGAAGGGCAGAGGGAGAACAGGGACTGACTAGGGTTGGTTGAAGTGGGTGTGGAGAGGAGGGCAAGGGCAGATTGGCTGCAATCTGAGAGAAACCAAGGAATTGCCAGTCCAGGGGAGCAGGGTCCACAAGTCCAGAGGGAATAGTTCCCAGGTTGACTGTGTTAGGAGCTCCAGGCCTGTGCTCATTAGCGCCACCTAGCCAGCCCTGGGGGATGCCCAGCAATGCCATGCAGTGTGACAGGGTTACTTCTGCAAGGGGACAGAAAGGCCTAGGACTCCAGTTCCTGCTTATCTTGCTGGAGGCCCCAGGTCTAAGCAGCACCTATGATTTGCCCAGCCCCTCTGATATCCTGCATGTGGGCTATGAGTGGGCCATGGTTGCTTCCACTGCCTGGGAAGGAGGCCCAGCTGAGTGTGAAGGAAGCCACAGCTTCCTCTCACACTTTCGCCAGGCAGGCAACAGGTGTGGGCTTGGCCCAGCTGGGGCCGGAACTTCACAGACCGCACCCAGCCCCAGCACTGTGACATATACAAGTTGTGTGAACCAGGAGACTACAGGGGGAAGGAGAGGAGGCCTGGACTCTGGAGCTCAGACTCCTGGCTGTGTGACATTGAGCTAATCAGTTAATTTCTCTGTGCCTCCCAGTCCCAAGTATGTTGAAATAGCAATAAGTGTCCACCTCAGGGTTGTGGTAAGGTTTCTAAAGGAGATAATGGCTGCCACGCTGGAGGGCTGGAAGCTGTTGTTGGGGCCCAGGGCCTGGCAGTATGGGCAGGAGCATCCTGCCAGTGAGCTCCAGGTCTGTGACCCCAGCAGCTCCCATCTCGGCCTGCAGAGCGTGACTACCACAGCCTGTGTGAGCGGCAGCCCATCGGGCGCCTGCTGTTCCGTGAGTTCTGCGCCACGAGGCCTGAGCTGACCCGCTGCACTGCCTTCCTGGACGGGGTGGTGAGTGCAGCCTGCCCTGGGGCCCAGCCCAACTCTGAGGGCAGATGGAGGTCCCAGCCACTGTCCTATTTCCCCACACCTATTGCTCCACTCAAACCCCAAGCTGCCCTACCTTCTACCCTGCAGGCTGAGTACGAAGTGACCCCTGACGAGAAGCGGAAGGCATGTGGGCGGCGGCTAATGCAGAATTTTCTGAGCCACACGGTGAGTGAACAGTGATGGAGAGATGACGGCGGCTGGCAGGGCTCAGTGACAACAGGGAGAGGAGTGACTACAGCCTGGGCAGTGAGTGCCTTGGAGCTGCTCCAGACAACACTGTGGGCATGGAGCCCAGGGGGTGGGCCAGGGCCAGACCCAGGCCAGGCGGGCTGCCAGCACTTCTCCCTCACCCAGCCTCAAGGGGAGTAGCCAGAAGAGATCCAGCAACCCGAGACCAGCTAGTGCACTACCCGACTGCTGCTATCCCTAGTGCTGGCAGAGATGCCTGGCTCTGCCCCGGGAATGAGCAGCCATCCAACGGAGCCCCCTGCACTGACCTGTCCTGGCCTGTCCCCAGGGTCCTGACCTCATTCCTGAGGTTCCCCGGCAGCTGGTTACTAACTGCGCCCAGCGGCTAGAGCAGGGGCCCTGCAAAGACCTCTTCCAGGAGCTGACCCGGTAAGCCATGCTGCCCTCAAGCTTGAAATTGTGCCCCAAAGAGGGGGCTTCTTTGTGCCCAGAGGACTGGCCTTGACCTTGGTAGTTTGTAGCATCCTTAGTTTCAGCACAGGATGAACATGTCTCTCCTCAGTGGGTTGGCGGGAGGGTTGGCCAAGGATAAGGCTTTGTGGGCTGAGCATGCACATCACAGGAGGCCTGGGCCATCAAGCTGAGAATCTGGGGTGTCAGGCTGACCTTTGGGTTGGTCCTTCCAACAGGCTGACCCACGAGTACCTGAGCATGGCCCCTTTTGCCGACTACCTCGACAGCATCTACTTCAACCGATTCCTGCAGTGGAAGTGGCTGGAAAGGTGAGTTCCTCCCGAGTTGGGCAAGGACAGGCCAGGTTGTGGAGATGCTTCATGGGCCTTTGCTCCCTTATCTGTTGCCCACAGGCAGCCAGTGACCAAAAACACCTTCAGGCAGTACCGAGTCCTGGGCAAAGGTGGCTTTGGGGAGGTGAGTGGCCAGGCCAGTGCCCTTGGCAGAGTACCCTAATTCAAGCCCTACACTACCAGCAAGAGCATGACTGGCCCTCATGTCCCGCTTCTACCTGGCCATAGGTGTGTGCTTGCCAGGTGCGCGCAACAGGCAAGATGTATGCCTGCAAGAAGCTGGAGAAAAAGCGGATCAAGAAGCGGAAAGGGGAGGCCATGGCACTAAATGAGAAGCAGATCCTGGAGAAAGTGAACAGTAGGTTTGTAGTAAGTACAGAAAGGAGACCTCTCCCTTCCATTCGCCATGCTGGCTCATCCTGCCCTCAACAGGCTTAAAGTTCCTTGCCTCTAACAAAGGGACTACCCTCTCCCTGCCCTGCCCCCTCTGATAACACCTCCTCGCTCTGGGTGATGCCAAAAGAGTATTGACAGGCCAGAGTATCCTAAGGAGTGACACTCAGAAGGATATTTTGGGCAACTGGCATTAGCCTGGCCCTTGGGTGCCCCACAGCTCCTACCTGAGGTTTCGGGTCCCCTGGCCACAGGTGAGCTTAGCCTATGCTTATGAGACCAAGGACGCACTGTGCCTCGTGCTGACACTGATGAATGGAGGCGACCTCAAGTTCCACATCTACCACATGGGCCAGGCTGGCTTTCCTGAAGCACGAGCTGTCTTCTACGCTGCTGAGATCTGCTGTGGCCTAGAGGACCTGCACCGGGAGCGGATTGTGTACAGGTGGGGAGGAGCTGCCTCAGGCAGTGGTGCCGGGGCTTGGCCCTTCCCAGCAAGGGGCTGCAGCTGGGTACAGTTGAAGGTAGGGGCGCTGAGGCTGCGGATCGGGCCAGGTAGTGGAAGGATGTTGGTGTGCTAGGGCTGTGACCACACACAACCTGGGCCAGCTCTGGGCCCAGCACTCTCCTTACACTGAATGGACTTGAGTGGCTCAGACTTAGGTTTTGGGGGGCTGGCTGACTCGCTTGCGAATCTTGATTTTGACAGACTTCTTTGTGTGGCCTTGAGTCAGTGAGCTCTTTGCTCCCTACACTATTTCCTTTGGAAATGGCAGACTGCCGTTCCTAACTCACAGGCTGACCCAGTGGTAGAGAGCTCTGTTATTATAGTTGTTGCTGATGAGTTCATTTGAGCCTCCTAACGTCCCATGAGGGGATGGATAGGTAGCCCCATCTGAAGAGGAAAGGTAGAGTCAGCCACAAACAGGAGGGAGTTCCTTGACACCAGCTATGAACGAGACTGCTGGTGGTGTCTGTGGAGTCCCCCACTCGGGCTGCCTTTTACTTGCCTACAAAGTTTCTTGGAGTCCTAGTTTGGTAGAGCCTTCATCTGTTCTCCTGAGTCAGGGCTACTACAGGAGGTCAGGGGCAGGGCTCCCTCTTACCCTGATACCAAATAGGTCCTAAACATTGCTCCACATCTAATCCCAGGGGCCAAGTGAGCTAGAAGGGACTGGCCCTGTGTGGCTTTCTAACAACCTAAGTAGCACCTGACCCTGCTCTTCTCTTCCCACAGGGACCTGAAGCCAGAGAACATCCTACTGGATGACCATGGTGGGTGGGGCAGCACAGAGGTGGGGTGGGGCAGCACAGAGGTCGGGTGGGGTGGGAAGGCCTGACCTATTAACAGGCCTACCTACTTCTCCCCACCCCCATTCAGGCCACATCCGCATCTCTGACCTGGGACTGGCTGTGCATGTACCAGAAGGCCAGACCATCAAAGGCCGGGTGGGCACCGTGGGCTACATGGGTGAGTCTCCCTGTGCCCTAGCCCACCCACTTCTGTATGGAGGTCTCTTGTGCCTTAGGGAGTAGAGAGCCCACATTGGTGTTCCTCTTTTGTAGATGAGGAGACCAAGACTCAGCCAGAGTCTCACATTGTGAATCAATATCATTCATTCCCTAAATACTTATGAAGCACTACTCTTGGCTGGATCTGCAGGTGGCTACCAGGGAAGGGGGCGAAGGGAATCAATCTGTTGCCCTCCCTTGAGTTGCCCATGCTTGGAGTAGGCATCCCTATCTGTGGTACAGACCAGTGTAGGGCCCAAAATGTGACCCCACAGTGGGCATAGTCCCGGCTCTACAGGCTCCACCCCTTGCCTGTCCTGTGCCCTTGGGCTAGGCGCTCCACTTCTCCTGCCTCTCTTCTACTGCAAAAGGATTATCTGTATTGCCTCCCGGTAGCCTTGAGATGAAAAGAGATAGTGAGTGGAGGGGAACTCCCAGGTGCCTGCCCGGGCTGTTTGAAGGGATCAGCAAGTAGGAGTTTCTGCCCTCTCTCTTTTCTCCCTTAGGAAATCCAGAAGCTGCAAGCCAGTAGCTACATGGGCCCCATTTGTCATATTTGTGTTGAAGTCAAATTGTTTTTAAAACAATTCTGATTGGTTGCCAACATTTCATAAGCCAGACAGTTTCATATAAAAATGATTTCTGGGCTGGGGTTGTAGCTCAGTGGTAGAATACTTGCTGAGCATATGGAAGACCCTGGGTTTGATTCCTAGCACCACAAAGAAAAAAACAAAACAAGACCTTGGGATCCTGGGTGCCTCTGCAGGGCCACATCAACTCCCTTTGATGGGGTGTGCTATACTCGCCAAGGTCACTATCAAGTTGATGTTGCCTGCTTGGCCAGTGGGTATTTGAGTTGATCCTCCAATTTCATGGGCATTCCTGGGGCCTGAAGGGTCTGTTCCCTGCCACCTACCCAGCCCTGGCTCCTGTGCCCCTTGCCCAGCTCCAGAGGTGGTAAAGAATGAGCGGTACACATTCAGCCCTGACTGGTGGGCATTAGGCTGCCTCCTGTATGAGATGATCGCAGGCCAGTCGCCCTTCCAGCAAAGGAAAAAGAAGATCAAGCGGGAGGAGGTGGAGCGGCTGGTGAAGGAAGTGCCTGAGGAGTATTCTGAGCGCTTTTCCCCGCAGGCCCGCTCACTCTGCTCCCAGGTACTGCAGCAAGGGGGAGGCCTGACTGACCAGGGCTGGAGTTGGGGCACCTCACCAACCTGCCCACCCAAGGGCACCCTGACCATCCCTGCCCTGCCATAGCTTCTCTGCAAAGACCCTGCGGAGCGCCTAGGGTGTCGTGGGGGTGGCGCTCGAGAGGTGAAGGAGCACCCCCTTTTCAAGAAACTGAACTTCAAGCGGCTGGGAGCTGGCATGCTGGAACCGCCCTTTAAGCCTGATGTGAGTGCCTCCCACTCCTGCTGAGGGCAGGGCCAAGTAGGGCTGGGGCTGGGGTCCCGTGGAGTAGTGGTCAAAACATCTGCAGTGCAGATGTTGGAAAATCCAATCTTATGACTTAGCTAAGTATACATACACACACACACTTCACTCGATTCATAAGAATGGAAAAACCTCAGGATAGGTTTGGCTTTTGGTATATCTGGATGGAGGGATGAAGGTGGGGTGACTCCAGTAGTACTGAAGGAATTCATTTTTCTCCCTCCACAATGTACTATTGATTATGTAGTCTTCACTCTCAGGTGGCTCTTCCCAGGGCGTGGCAAGAGTGACCTCCAGCAGTTCAGGCCCACATCCTTCCAGTTCAGTCTTCCCCATAGATAGAATTTCTTGCCTAGAGATTTCAAAAGAAATACCAAAGGGGAAAAATCCTCAGGCTGGTGTTCATTGCCTCTGATGGCTCAGAGAACCCTCACTGATCATCCCTGGATCACATACCCAGTTGGACCACTGAGTGGGAGTGATCCATCTCCCAAAGAAAAACCCAGATGGAGATGCCAGTGGGGGGATTTATTAAGTATCTCGTGAGTCAAGCACCCTGCAAGCAAAAATATCTTCTAGTCATCAGATTCCAAGTGGCAGAAGCCCAATTCAAACTTAAAGTCTAATAAGGAGTTTATTGGTTCCTTTGGCAAGAAAGTTCCTGAGTAGGGTCAACATCAGGGTTTCATGCTGTGTTGCCAACTCTCCATCCCTTGGCTCTACTTCAACCTGTTGACTGTATCCCTCTCTCTGAATTCAGGCTACTTTGTGTGTAATATTATAGGAAAGGTTCTGATTGGCCAGGATTAGGACATGTGTTTGCTCTATAAAGATTGGGTCCCGTGGGGCTGGGGTTGTAACTCAGTGGTAGAGCGTTTGCCTGGCATGTGTGAGACCCTGGGTTCAATCCTCAGCATCACATAAAAATAAATAAATAAACAAAATAAAAATATTGTGCCCATGTATAACTAAAAAAATTTTTTTAATTTTTTTTAAATTGGGTCCTGTGATTGACAGTTCATCAGGAGCACTGGGGAGACTAGAAGGTGATAGTCAGGCTGGGTTGATTGCTGCCAGCCACATTTAATTTTACAAATACATGAGTGCTCAGACCTTGAAAATAATAAGGTCCATAGGACCCAAATCTGTCTTTATGTTCAATCGAGAAGGCACACCAAAATAACCAATAAATTAGAAAGAATTTCAGGTACCGCTACGTGCAACAACAACAACAAAAAAAAACAGGCTAAGAAGGCAGAGAGTGATGGGGTGGGGGCATCATAGTTTTAGACAGGGGGATCTTTGATGGTTAAGCAGAAACTGGAAATGTGTGAGGGAGAGAGCCAGGCCAAGATATAAGCATTAACGGCATTATAGGCAGAAAGAGCAGCTAGGTATTGAGGTCCTGTAGAAGAGAACAGTCTAGTGTGATGAAACACAGTGAGGAGACCAGTGTGCCTGGAGCAAATATATGCAGGGAAAGAGGAACATGAGTCCCAAATGACGGAGCTTTGGAAGTTTGAGCAGGAATGTAAAGTGTAGGGAGTGGGTCCATGGAGGGTGTGGGTATAAGTGGGGAGGCCAGCTAGGGAGCTGCTGCCTCTGTATCTTGTGTAGTAGGTCTCCAAGGAATGCTGAAGCGTGGGTGTTGTCCTGGGCTAGCACTTGAACCAAGTGGGCCTGACTTCCATCAGCCTGCCTCTGAGACTGCTTCCTATGCACATCATCTTAAGTAACCTTGAAATAATCTCACTGTTTGTGGTCTTTAGTTCAAAGTTAGAGATAAAATCAGTGCCTTGGAGCTTAATGTTTTAGAAGCAATAGATGAAAAGCAAGCTTAATGATGATGTATTTTTTTAAGAGCTTTATTGAGGATTAATTCACATACCATACAATTCACACATATAAAGGATGCAGTTCAGTAGCTTTTATTAGAGTTATACAGACATCACCACAATAAATTTTAGAATATTTTCATTACCCAGCCAAAACAAAAAACCCTATACCCACTAGCAGTCATTCTCCATTCTTCTCTTCCCCAGTCCTTGTTAATCACTAATCTACTTTCTGTCTGTATATATTTGCCTATTCTGGATGTTTCATATATGTGGGTGGAATCATAAAAGATATGGTCTTCTGTGACTGGCTTCTATTACTTAGCATGTTTTTAAGGTTCATCCATGTTAGCGTATAGCAATATTGATAATATTCCATTGTTTGGATAATACCTCATTTATTTATTTTTCTCCTTTTATTTGGTTTGTTTATTTTATTTAATTAATTAATTTATTTTTTGGTACTGGGGATTGAACTCGGGGGCACTTGACCACTGAGCCACACCCCCAGCCCTATTTTGTATTTTGAGACAGGGTCTCACTGAGTTGCTTAGCGCCTCACTTTTTGCTGAGGCTGCCTTTGAACTTGTGATCCTCCTGCCTCAGCCTCCCAAGTCACTGGGATTATAGGTGTGCACCACCGTGCCCGGCCTTATTTATTTATTTTAATGTGGTGCTGGGGATTGAACCAAGGGCCTCATGCATGCTAGGCAAGTGCTTTACCACTGAGCTATCTCCCCGGGCCTAACTCATTTGTTTATTCATATCAGTTGGTAGACATTAGAGCCATTTCCACTTTTTTGGTTATTATGAACAATGATATTCTTTTTTTGTGAGATGGATTCTCACTGTATTGTCCAGGGTAGTCTTGAACTTGTGAACTCAAGGGATTCTCCTGCCTCAGCCTTCTGAGTAGCTAGGTCTGCAGGTGCTCACGACTGTGCCTGGCTGCTATGAACATTCCTGTACAAGTTTTTGTGTGGACAGATGTTGATATTTCCTCTTGGTATATACCTAGGTATAGAATTACTAGGTCATATGTTAACATGATTTACCTTTTAAAGGATACTGTCAGATTTTTCAAAAAAGTGGATGCACCATTTTTAAAATATATATATATTTTTTTAGTTGTAGATGGGTGCAATTTTATTTTACTTATTTATTGATTTTTGTGTGATGCTGAGGATCAAACCCAGTGCCTCACATGTGCTAGGCAAGTGCTCTACCACTGAGCCACAACCCCAGCCCTATGGATGCACCATTTTACATGATGATGAGGAGATGTGTGCAAATGACCTGAGGATTAAATCCACAGGGCCTTGTGTTTATTAAGCACAGCCCTACCACTGAGCTATACCCCCACTCTCATGATTATTATTATTATTATTTTTGGTGCTATGTATAGAACCACTGAGCCACATTTCTAGCCCTTTTTATTTTTTATTTTGAGACGGGGTTTCATTATGTTGCTTAGGGCTTCACTGAGTTGCTGAAACTGGCTTTAAAATTGCAATCCTCTTGCCTCAGCCTCCCCAGCCACTGGGATAACAGGCATGGGCCACCATGTCTGGCTCATAATATTTTAATTGACATCCTTAATGGTAGGATTTGAAAGACAGCATAAAGATGGAAAAGAAAGTGGCTTTCTGATGCTAAGTTGCAGGGGCCTGGGGAGATTGTTGGAGACTCATTCCGGCCCTCTGATTGGCTATGAGGGGAGATGGAGCAAGCCTCTGGACATCTCAGGGTGGGAACCCATCCATTTCAGGCCCAGCATAAGGAAGCCAACTGAGATTCAGCGTGTAATTCTCCCTAGCCTGCACTCCTCACCCCCAGGCTGGTGAGGGAGTGGCCCAGCATCAGGTCTATACACAGCCACATTCAGTCATTGATCAGTGAGGGATAATGAAGCCAGTTTACAGATAAAAAGGACTGCTGTGCTCAGCAAGTGTATGGGGTACCTGGTTGCTTACTCTAGACCCCAGATTCTGCTGGTATTGAACAGAACCAGATCAAGGGCCAGAGGGAGAATCAAGGCTGAGCTGCCTTCCTTGTGTGTGTATGTTTCCTATCTGACTACTTCCTTTGTGCCCCCAGCCCCAGGCTATTTATTGCAAGGATGTTCTGGATATTGAACAATTCTCCACAGTTAAAGGTGTGGAGCTGGAGCCCACCGACCAGGATTTCTACCAGAAGTTTGCCACTGGCAGTGTGCCCATCCCTTGGCAGAACGAGGTGGGGGTCTGCCCTGCTGGGATGGGGTGGGTTCTAGGGGTCTGGCCCTGGGGGCAACTCTCTCAGTTGCCTGTTTCTCAGTAGATGGTGGAGACTGAGTGCTTCCAGGAGCTGAATGTTTTTGGGCTGGATGGCTCAGTTCCTCCAGACCTGGACTGGAAAGGCCAGCCGCCTGCACCCCCCAAGAAAGGACTGCTGCAGAGACTCTTTAGTCGCCAGGTAAGCCCTGACAGTGTACTAACTGGGCCCCCAGCCTGGCTCTAGGGGACACTGGTGGGAGGCAGAGCCGGTGCCCGCTTACACTGGATGTGGGCATCCTCCAGCCCTGCCAGTGGTGCCCAGGGTCTCTGGCCTCATTCCCACCTGTCCCCTACCCTTGGCTGGGCTCATGGCCTCTTTTCTCTTTCCAGAGGTGAGCAGTGTGGGCTCCCCGTGGGTTGGCCTTCCTGCCCGGCCTTGGGGAGCCCCAGGCAGCCCTTCCATGGCAGAGGAGAGATGTGGGAGAAAGAAGTCTGGTGCCCGCTCCTCTATCCCCTTCCCCGCTGCTGCAGTTCCCTGCACCGTGTCCCCTTCAAGCTGCTAGCCTTGCTTAGCTGCCTGTCTCCCCATGCCATGCCTTTGGACAATGGCCTTGCCCTGGCAGGTCCTGGGGTCTCTCTAGTCCACCTTATTTTATTATTTTGCCGGAAGCCTATGCCCTGACACCTACCCATGTGTGGCCTGATCTGCTGCTCCAGGCCCCTCATGGGATCCTCTTCTCCAGAACATGACCCCAGGCAGCTCCCAGCCTGCTCAGGCAGAGCTGGCCCCTTGCGACATCATAGGTGGTTAATGGCGCCCACTCTGCCTCTCTCCCTCCGTGTCTTCCCTGTCCCTCCAGGATTGCTGTGGGAACTGCAGCGACAGTGAGGAAGAACTCCCCACCCGCCTCTAGTCCCCAGCCTGAGGCCCCCACCGGCGATTGGCGGTAGCAGCTACTCTGAATGCTGTTTACAGTTTTGCACAGTGGTCTTCCCCATTGTCCACTCAAGTCGTGGCCTGGGGAACACAGCCGGAGCTGTCCCCAGTGTCCTCTGCCCCTCAGCCCCTGGCCTGGCTGAGTTTGGCAAGGACTGGGCCGTCCCTGGGACAAAGGTGCGTCCCTTCAGCTCTTCTCCGGAGCTCAGGGCTTTCTGTATTTATGTATTTGTACGAGTGTCTATCGCAACCAGAGCGCTCTTAATTCCCACCCCAGACCGGCGCCCTGGCTTCCACTCCTCTGTGCAGCCAGCCCTGGTCAGGAGAGCTGGGAGCTGGCAGAGGAGTTACTGCCAAACGAGGCTTCTCAGGCCCAGCTCAGATCGCCTGAGGCTGGGCCAGGCCACACCCTTGAGTCCCCAGCACTGCACTGGCCACCACCAACCTCCAAATGACAGTTGTGCCTGCCCCCACTGTCCTGGGCTCAGGCCACCACCATTTCAGACCCAATACTGTCCCTTCAAGCACTTGTTAGAGCTGGATCTGGGGCTTCAGTGTCCCCTAGGCCTGTGCCAAAGTGTGACCAGAGATTGGGCTGACCATGAGACCCATCAGTCCACTGCCCAGGTTGTCCCAGATGGGTCTTTCTCTGCCTTCCAGCTCCCAGGGCACTTTGTCTCTTATGCTGGGCCCTGTCTTGAAGACACCTCTTCAGAAATGCTCCAGCTCAGACCATAGGAGGGTGTGGGGTATCCCTGGCCAAACCTCCATCATTCCAGAATCTCTTCATAACAACAGACACACGTCCCCAGCAATAATCCGCCCTCCCTGTGTGTGCCCATGGGGAGCGTGTGTGTGTGTGTGTGTGTGTGTGTGTGTGTGTGTAACTGTGTGTGAAGGGGGCAAGGTAAGGCTGTGCCTGTGCCCCAGGTCCCAGCCCTGGTCCTTCCCAGACTGTGATGACCATCCTGGTCCCAGTGTTAGGGTAACATGGGATTATAGGGCCCTAGATTTTCCATATTTAAAGCCAATTTTTATTACTCATTTTGTCCAATGTAAGCTGCCACGTGTCTCTGTGAATACAGTCTGAGCACAAACCTAGCCAGCTGCCCCTGCCTGCCTCTTTCTTGCTTCTGGTGTTCGAGGGGGTCTTCCTGCTTCTCTGGTCCAGAGAAGTAAGAAAGGATTGGAGGTGGACCTGGTAGGGCTATGAGGGGCTGCCCTTCCAAGTCCCTAGGACAAATCTTAGGGTAGACTTCGCAGGTATCCTTGGTGTGGCCTTTGGGCTCATCCATTGGTGTTTTTCAGCTTCCTAAATGGGATGGGGCCTGAGGAAGGAAGCCTCCGTTCCCCCTGGGGTGTGGATTTGGCTGGTCTGCTTTTGAGCTTTTCAAAGCCAAGGTGACCTGCCTTAATGTGAACTTGCAACAGCTTAGGGAGCCAGGTGAGAGCTGCTATTAGGAACACTTGTCTCTGGTCTCCTAACTTGGCCCCCTGTTATGTACCTGGCCCTGGGTTGGTGCATGAGACCCATCTCAGTTTTGCCCTTGAAACATTAAATGTGGGTGATGATACTGGAAAGAAGGCCTTCAGGGTTTCTGTAGGTAATGGTTAGCCAGGCTTGAAAGAGAGACACATGGAGAACAAAAGGGATTGGGGAGAACATTACAGTGGACCACCTGTGTAAATACTTAGGGGCGAGAGCTGTTTGATTACAAGTTTGCCCCAGACTGCAAACCCCATCATTGCTTGGTAGCTTTCCAGTGTCCCCAGCCACCAAGAATGCCCTGTAAGATTTGCTTCTTACCTCTGGCCTAAGTACCTAGGGCTGCAGAAGCCACTTGAGCTTTGCAGTTGACAGTTGTGGGTTCAAGTTACAGCCTTGGCAACTTTTCAAGCTGGCTTTGCACAGGCCCTTCCCTTAACTAGGAAGATAGTTGTGATGGCTATCACCCTGCAGGGCCGCTGGGGCTGTAGCTCAGTGGTAGAGCACTTGCCTAGCGTGCTTGAGATCCTGAGGCCTTCGGTTCAATCCTGAGTCCTGAAGGAAGAGACCAGCAGGTAGTGATCACTTGATCACTGTCAGGACTTCAGCTAGAGGAATGGGTGCTGGTTACCAAGCTGAGCAACTATCATAAGAGCAGCCAAAAGATGCCCAGCACCAATTCAACAGAAAGGGCCCCTTTTTGGTGTATGGAGTATTTGCTGGGTTGCTCCAGGTCTCCCATGGGAAAATGACCATTGCAGGGTGGGAATTGAAACCAGGTGAGAATAGGAAAGCCAGATCATGTTCATGAGGCATGAGGTTGGGGCCTGAGGTGTATTTCTCTTGCTGCACCAGGATCTGCTTGGAGGTGAGATGGGGTAGATAGGAATCAGACCCTTTCCCAAGCTCCCCCTTGAGTGAGGAAAGAATCTAGAACTTGACTAAGGTTAAGCTCACCTGAAATCCTTACAAGAGGAAAGTCCCAGAATTCATTTCCCAATAATCCTTTGCTAAGCTCACCTCTCTCCACCCAGCTCTACTGTGGGAACTGGGGACCCAGATGGAAATGAGGTCCCTGCCAGCTTGGAGCTCAGTCTGGTAGGCAGGCAGACACAGTGACACCTAGTGTGATCAGCACTGCAACAGAGAGGGCTAGGGCTGGGGCTGGGGGGCAACACCAAGCAGGGAAAGCCCTTTGGCCTCGAAGATGTCAGAGTTGGTACTGTCCAGGACACAGGACCATATTGATGGTCTTAGGGCTGCTAGTGGTTTAGAATGGCTGAGCATGGGGCAGGGTGGAAAAAAAGAAGTGGCTGCAGCTGAGGTCAATGCTTTCAAATCTCTCTAGCTTTGAAAGACATGTTAAGGATGTGGGGCCTCATCTAGCAGGTGAGGGAATCCCTGAAGGGTTTTGACTGGTTGTGTTGGTTTGTCCCAGTAGCTATAGAAGCACCCCAAGTTTCCCTTGAGGAGCCCCTTCTCATTCTGTGTGGCTTAGATGGTGCTGGGCTTGCACTCTTTGCATATAGGTACACTAGACATACCTAGTATGTGTGACCTGGGGAGGAATGGCACTGTCTTCCAGATAACTTGATGTTAAAGGACATAGGGGAGCTCAGACAAGAAGGGCCAGAGGTATTAGTTGCAGACTCCCTTCTCATCAGGAAAGTAGATGGCAAGAAACACTTATAAGGCATGACTACCAGAAACAAGATGCTAAGCCATTTGTGCTTTGGCGTCATTGAACCAGACTCAGCCCAAGGAGTCCCAATAGCCAGGCTAGAAACGTGCTCAATGTTCAAAGGGGGAGCAGAGTACTTGGGTTCAGAGGTGTCCACCATGTTGGTACCCAAAGTGATTGGGCAATGACTTCCTCCAATGGAATCTAGGTGTTCATATTCAAAGAAAAAGGAACAGAAACTGGGTAGCCACTTGGAATACATCCCTTCCCCCAAGGCATGTACTCCTGGATTGGTTCACTGCTGCACACTTGGCCAAACGAATCCAAAAAAGAATCATTGTGGTGTTTTTGGTTTGCTTGTTTGTTTTTTGCTAGAACTATTGGGAAAGAAAGGGAGTTCTCTTTCCTCTGGGGATGAATAGCAGGATATAAGCCTTGGAGGTATCCCGACTACTTGGGGACAACTTGTTCTAGGATGATGCAAACAGGAGAAAGTAGATGGCAAGAAACAAATACATGCCCGATGCTGTTACTGAAACAACTGGAATCAATCGCGACCAAATGGAGAATCTAGCCCTTGATTCTCATTTCCAGTTACATGACACAGACCCTGTGGGCTCAAGCCTATATTTTAGAGTCCTGTCCCTTGAAACCTCAGCTCCCAACTGATATGGTGATGAAGAGTTATTTTGGTAGATCACCCTAACTGTCATAGAGAAACTGGAGTAGAAACAGAACTAGGTTAAAAGGCCAGGGCACCCAGATTCATAGTAGCCTCTATTAGGCCACCTCAGGGTGGGGCCCTAGGATCATCTCTTTCTCATGGGGCCAAGGCTATAGACTCAGCACTTGTCCCTCCCCTCTGTTTCTTCGTAGCAGGCAATTGGTGATGTGCCCTGCTGGGGACATCTCAGGTGTGTAATGAGTGGAGAGGGAGCCACACTGCTCGAACCCCTGCCCGAGGGGCATGTGTGCAGCGCCTGTCATCATGTGGCCAGGACTTGCACGTGTGTGTGCTGTCCAGGTTGAGGTGTGTGCGTGTTGGGGTTCCTGACCTCAGCTGATTGGTTGAACATCCACCGTGTGCGACCCATATGTGCTTTGGGTCTGCTGCCGTGTCCAGCGGGGCAGCCTGTTGCTAGGAACTGGGTGGCACGTGCATGCTCTGTGCAGGATGCCCTCGGGGGTGTGAGTCCAGTGCCCCAGGGCTCTGATTCTATTCGCGGCAGGTGGAAACCGCGTCCTTCCCACCCCCTACCCTCTCCTGGCAGCCTCCTCGGCGGCGGGGGGCGGGGGGCCCTCTGCTGGCTGCCGCGCGCGCGCACGCCAGACTCGGCACGCGCCGTGTACGCGCCCGTGCGCGCGCCCCGCGCCTCCAGCCCTGCGCTGGGAGCCGCTTTCACTGCCACTGTCTGCTCCCCCGGGCCGTCTCCGCTGCCGCCTCCCCCAGGCCGGGGGCTCTGTCCTCTGGGCCGCTCGCTCCAAAGCAGAAGAACGAGCTCGAAGAAGATGCTTGGGCCCGTGAGTACCGCGGCGGCTGCGGGCCGGGCGGGCTCGGAGCGCGGGCGGAAGATTGTCCCAGGGATGAGCCCCTCCCCGAGGGCGGCTCTAAGCCCTGGCCCGGGTCGCCGCCCAGGACCCGGGCCCGGGGCCGTGGGCAGACCCTCCCCCAGCCAGCACTGGAGGGAGGAAGGGAGGGAGAGCGCCAGTGAGCGAGGGAGCCTGAGCGGGGCGCGAGCCGCCACCAGTTCGCTTGGAAACCGTTGCCACAGTAACGGGGTTGCGCTCCCCGGCAACGCGACTGCGGGGTAGCGACGCCCCCTCCCCCCTTCCCCACCCCACGCGGGGCCACAGCCCCCGGCGCTGGGGAGGGAGAGCGGGTGCGCGGTGAGGGGAACGTGGCCCCTCTGGCGGGTCTGGGTGTGCCTGCCTCCACCGCCCGTCGAGGGTGGGGGTGGGGGGCGAAAGGCTCCGTGGGCACGAGCTGGTTCCCACGTGGCTGCAGTCGTCGCAGCAGGGCTCCTAGGGTGGCTGCAAACGTGGAGGCGGCCCAGACCGTGGGCCTGCCGTGGGAGGTGGAGGCATGGAGGCTGGGTTAGGGGTCTCAGTAACCCCTACTCCAGCACCCAGGCCTTCTCGGGTTCCCTCGCGACGGTGGCCTGCCCCGGTGTTGTGTTCCCCAGAGGTGATGTTCCTTATCAGGAGAGAGGAAAGAAGCTGCCATCCCTCCTCCTCCTTATGGCCAGGGCATGTGCCAAACTGCCTATGAATTGACTGTGGGTCTCTGCTCAGTGTTCCTAGCCACCATTCTCCGGGAAGGGGTGGAAGAGGAGTGGGCAGGAGCAGAGGAAAGGACATTGCTGACCCAGGGAAGCTGAAGCCCAGGCCAACTGGAAGCGACCCAGCCCATTGTCTGGACCACAAGTGCCCCTTTCTTGTCTGAGCACAATGCCTCGACTATGCTGGATGGCAATCAGGTTGGCTGGCAGAGACACCAGTGCCACATGGAGGTGCCTGGTCCTCCAGAAGAACTCCTCTGGGAGGAGAATGGCCGCTGAGTCAGAGGAAATGACCTCTGGCTCCCCTCCCAACCTTCCCTCAACGGGTAGTAAGCTGGAGAGAGAAATGGCCCCCCTATCAGCTTTTCAGGGCCTGACTCAGCAGATACCAACCCCAACCACAAGCTTGGGATACAGCATCTATGCGACCACAACCACGCTTGGGTTTCCTTTCCCATCTAAGGAAGTATCCTGGTCACCAGAGGTGACAGGTATCTGGGGCATTTGGGGCCTTGGCATAAGATGTCCTTAGATGGGGGCTGCTTGGGAAGTCAGGCCTGAGTCTCTTGTAGGCAGGGGGACCTTGGGAATTACAGTCTCTTTTCATTCTTTCCCTGTTCTGTGTGGGACTTGTGTTGAGCACTCTGTGTCCATTATCTCCTAATTCTTACAGCTATTGTGCAAGGTAAGTTTATTATCTTCATTTTAAAGAAGGAGACTCTGAGGCTCAGGGAGGTGAAGTGACTTGCCCAAGGTCATACAGCCAGTAAGTGGTAGAGCTAGTTTTCCATTGAAGATTTCTCTGCTAGCAAAACCCCTCTCAATCTGCTAGACACAGCTTGGGTGACCCAGGCAGAAAAGAATCCTAGAGCCTCCCAGAGGATCATTTTGTTGTTGTCGTTCCTTCACATTCTTCCAGTAAAGCAAGTGTCTCTCAAGCTGTGACACACCTTTTCCTTCTTCCTTCCAGATTCTTGCTCCCTCAGATGCTTTATAGGATTGTGCTGCTACCAGCCTGTCTTCTTCCCTGCCTCCATTTTCTTTCTCTGGCCGAGTCCAAACAGTGAGGGCTGCTTCAGGCCCCTGGGAAAACCCTGAGCATCTAGTCTTTGGTTCACGTGCTCTGTGTCCAAAGCTTATGGTCCTGACTGTGGGAGAGTTTAGCAAAAATGGCTCCAGGCAGTGCTGGACCCTGTGGTGCCCAGTCTAACTCAGAGGTTGTAAACCCAAATGCTTTCAGGGGCTCAGAGGGTGGGGGGCAACAGGATGAGTGAGGTGGGCCTCAGTTTGTTTGATGTCATCATGTAAGGTGTGGACTTGGTATGACCAGATTGTCTGCTTTTCTAGATGAGCCAAAAATCTAGACCTTCATACAAAATCTGGTTTTTAAATGTTGATAGAATATTTTTAAAATAGACTATGAATCAACAAAACATCCATGAGTTGTGTCCAAGCTGAGTATCATGAGTCTGAGGCCTCTTGTCTGTGGTAAAGTGAGGGCAGTTTTTGCTGGAACACCCTCAGGCTGCATACAGTGTAGTACCATGGGCTGGTTTCCACATTTGAGCCTCTCTGGCTGCGAGGTACTGGTGTTTGGCCACATGCAGCTGTGAACATTGGTCTTGAAGTATTTTCATCTTCCTCATCAGTTGTGCTTATCCCTTGGCACTGTCAGGAAGGTCTCACCATCCCTACGCTGTGGGCAAAGAAACTTAAGTTTAGGGATGGGAGTAGCCAGAATGGGTTCACTTGACTCAATTAGGACAGAAGCAGGATTTGAACCCAGGGCTGCCCCTCTTGCTCTATGTGTTACACCAGACTGCCCCCACTACCTTGTGGCCGCCTCCCTTGGAAGGAAAGATAATTATTCCCTCACTGAATGAGGGGATGGAGGCACAGGGAGCCTCCAGAATGAGGTTTTGGTGGGAAAGTCTGATCTTTGAGTATCTTGCCTCACAGCCCCCAAGTGGGCCAGAGCTGAATCTAGTGGACATGAGGCCTTTTTACACACAAGCCCACTGGGGCCCCAGTCTCTATTCTTCAGTTTGCAATTTCTCAAGCCCTGGGTTCCTAGCCCACTGCCAGGGTTGATTCACAGAGATTCTACCTGCAGGCCAGGGTGCCAAGCCAGTACCTTAGCCTTGCTGGAAATGATACAATGGCCAGCTCCATGCCTGGCTGATTTGGGGAGCTGGGCAAGTTCTACCATCCCTCTGTGACCTCAATTGATCTGTCCTGGTGTGAGAGAGGTGTAAAATGTTACCAGTGCCTCTCGGAAATGCCCTTCCTGCCATGAGAATGGGCTTTGCAATTGCTATAGCTTCACGAACACCTGACTCTGTGGCCTGAGTGGGACCTAGCTCCTTGTTGCACTTACATCCTTGACTATAGAGCGAGGTGAAAACAGCCACCTCCTGAATGTTAGTGAGATCACGACTGTAGAGGCTGATGGCATGTGCAAGGCATGTAAGACACGGTGACAGTCACCTTCCTCCTCCACCTGCCCTCAGCGCCTCACACCACACCCTCCTCCTCCCTCCTGTCTCTGGGCCTCATGTCGAGGACTCCACCTTGTCACCCAGAGCCCCTGCTGCCCGGGACTTCCTCTCTGCTCCAGAGCCCTTGGTGCGTGCCTCCATGTCATCTTTTCCTTTTATTCATAGATATATGAGCGCTTGGTTTGCTTATAACCCACCCTGCGAGGGCTGAGGCTGGGTGATGGCTTCTTTCTCAGTGACATTTTGGTGAATGACCGACATTTCCCAGGAATGAATTGGATGCAGACCCAGCTCCTGAGGTGTCACTGTCCTACAGCTAAAAGACCAAACAGGTAACTGGACACCTCTAGTCATTCCTTCAAGAAGTGGCTTTTGAGCTACCATGTGCCAGTTGATCAAAACAAATGAAGCCTCTGGTGTTGGACACAAACTACTCCAGAACTTTCTGGTCACTGGGCTTCATTATCTTCCAGCTGTTGGGGTGAGGTGGCTCAGGGATGACTTATCCAGAAAAGAATGACCAGAGCCCAAGCAACCTTGCAGGGGCTCATCCTGAAGGCTCTGATCTGGGTCCCAGGATGCTCCTTTGGATCAGCAACACTGGCTCAGCATCTGTTGGGAATCTGTTAGAAATGCAAACTCTGAGGTCCCACCCAGACCTACTGAATCAAATGCTGTGAGTGGAGCCCAGCCTTCCAGTGGTTAGGATGCTTGTTCAAGTTTGAGAGACACCAATTAGAAGCATGTTAAGGCCAGGATTGTCTCCTGAGATGGTGGGAAAGCATTGGAGGGTTCAGAAAGGAGAGAGCCTAGGGAAAATAGGCAATGTGGAGAACTGGTTGACTGGGCAGGGGTCCGGCATGATGGTGCAATGGTAAAAAGTAATAGTGACCTGGCCAGGGTACTGGCAAGAGGACCAAAGGGTGTGGATACTACCCCGAGAATAGGAACAACAGGCTTTCGTATCTGGAGTGAAGGGTGGGCCCATTGCTGAAATAAAGGACCCAGTAGCAGATCTTTGGAGTCTAAAGTTGAGGGGCCAGGGTTTTTCATGCAGCCATGTAGCCAGGTTCTAGAATATGAGGTCTGTGGTCCTTGGATGTTATTTAACCTCTTTGAACCAAGTGTTCTCATCTGTCAAATGGAGAGAATGCTAATCTACTTCCTAGGATTGTGAGCTCTTTGTGCAGCCCCCAGGCAGGCAGCACCTTAGAGACGCACATCTCTGCATCCCCAGGTCAGAAGCTGCCATCATCAGGACTAAGGGTTTTGTTCATCTCCACACCCTTGGTGTGGATTAGCTCAGTTTTTACTGTAATCATTGATGAAGAAACTGAGTCAGCATGGGTGTTAGGTAACACTGAGATCTCGCTTTTGTCCCCCTACTTTGGTTCCAGTAAGTGTGGCCTAAGAAAACTGTACAAAACTATACACCCCAAAACACTACACATAAATCAAGATGGAATCCTAAAGAATGTTCAAATAACCTGCAAGAATGTGAGGGAAAAAAAAAACAGAAAACAAAGATGGCAGACTTAAGAATCAGTTCATCTGAAGCGCGGGGCTCCTAACAGCAGAATTGGACAAGTGGCAGGTGTTTGCTTTTAACAGTCTGAAGGGGTGAGGCAAAGGAGTGGCTGAGGGCAAGAGGCTGGCTCTGAATTTGAAGGGCTCCCCAGACAAGGGCAAGAGCTTGCACAGAGGCATGGAGTGGTAAAGCCTTTGGGGGAGGCTTCAAGAACTTTGGTCAGGTCAGTAGAGCCTTTTCAGGTCTGAATGAATCTCTCAGTTGTACATACTGAATACATATTATGGACTAGATTATTATATGCTGAGTCTTCCTAGGAGGGAGGCTTTAGGCTGGATTGCAGCCCTTTGGGCTGACTATACCCTCAGGGAGGAAAAGGCCTCAAATCCCCATCCTTCAAACTGGGCACTGGAGCCAGACTAGGGTCAGAGGGCCCTCATCTGTAAGACCTCAAGCAGGAGGCTTCCCCTGACCCACAGCTGCCTCATCTGTAAAACGCAGCAATGATTCTTACCTCCTGGCTAAGGGGTGGCAGTGGCACCTAGCAGATTTGGAGTGTGGCCTGCCCTGGTGTAGTCTAATGCACAGCCTGCTGAGCTGAGCACCCTCAGGGTACAGTCCCTGTTTTTCATTCCCTGTAAAGTCTGAGGCCAACATCCCATCTCTCCATCCTGTAGCCTTCCCTTCACTTCCCTTCGCTTTTCCATGGCTGCTGTGGCTGGTAGACATGTGCTCCAGGGCCTTGGTGGGAAGGAACAGGAATGCACATTTTGGCTACTAACTGGTCAGAGTGCCCAATGCCCCTGCAGCTGCCAAGTCCTGCTGTATTGACCGCTCACAAGTACTGGGCTTTTCATTTATACCTCACTCATCACATAGGCACAGTATTTGGACACAGTTTGAATTAGACATAGGCTTAATTTTAGCTTAATTTAGCTGTGTGAACTGGGATAAGTCATCTCCCTCTCTAAGCCTGCCTCTTCATCTGCCAAAAGGGCATAACCAGTAGTGACGAGGTGGTGTGGACAATCATGTAAGATTGTGCATGAAAAGAGAGAGGAACAAGTCCTAATGGTCTTGAAAGATTGTTAAAAATACCTTTTATGTATTTATTTTTAGAGACAAAATCTTGCTATGTTGCCCAGGTTGGCCCCAAACTCCTGGGCTCAAGCAGTCCTCCTGTCTCAGCCTCCTGAGTAGCTGGGACTATTGGCCTGGGTAATTGGGCCTGGCTCTTGACAGATATCCCTAATTTAGCTAAGCCGTTAGTTCCAACCCCAAAAGTGCCTTTTCTGACCCAGAGCTGTTCCTGCTCTGCGGACCAGGGGGACCTCTAGTTAGTGCCAGTTCCTCAGAACATTCCTGTTCCTGAGGGCTTAGAAAAGGAGAACAACAGATTTAATTAACTGCCAGTGACTGGCAGCATCGTGTTTTTATCTGGGCTGCCGTCGTCATGGCAGCCTCATGGCGGGGTTGTCGAGGGGGCGGGCAGAGCTATTGTTCCTGCCATTGTCTGTTCTGGAACGCAAGCCCAGGAGAAAAGGACTGGCACGGGCACCAAGTGGCACATGGCTGAAGGCAGCCATAGAGTCAGACAGGAGCCATCTGGGGGAAAAGGCGGGCCGTGGGGTGGGGGTGGGGGGAGGCTTGTGGTCTGGCATCCTCTCAGCTTGGGGCCCAGGCAGACTGTGGGCCCCAGAGCTAAGTGTATGTCCCATGCCTTGGACTTGCTGAGGGTAGGGGGTCCTTGGGGTCCTGAAAGAGGCCCACAGTGTACTCAAGCAGCAGCATTCCCCCACCCGGCTCAGGCTAGGATTTTGTGTCCAGGCCTGTGTTCAAATAGGCTCTACCACTACACAGTGAATTGCTTCTTCATTCCTCACCTGTAAAGTGGAATACTTCGTTACCCCAAAAGATTGTACGTTAAAGCTCCTGGTATGAGGCATCCAAGAGGGCTCATTTCTGGTCCATGAGAGTAGTCAACAGTCCCTTGCTGCTCTTCCCTCGAAAAACCAGGGCTCCTTCCTGACTCAGGATGCAGGGTTGCCCCTCTCAGCCCTGGCTGTGGAGAGGAAGTGGAATTAGAGCGGAGTCTGGAGTAAGTACAGGTCCAGGTAAATCTGAAAGACAAGCTTCCAATTCTCATCTAGTTTTCCTTCCCTCTGCAGAGAAGGAAAGGAATTGGGGGAAGGGAAATGGCAGCCTGGAGATAGAGTGGCAGAGCCAAGTGGGGCTGCGCATGGGTAGGAGGCGGGGAAGCCGAGTTGGAGCTGGAATCCGGCAGGCAGGCGGAGGCGCCTAGAGGAAAGGAAGAAGGCCTGGCCCACGCCTGGCGCCGCGTGTCAGGCGCAAAGGAAGGACCAGAGGCACACAGTGGCGGTCGGACCCACCCACCAGCCGGAGCGAAGATCAGGAGGCCGCGAGTGCAAGGCTGAAGCTGGGCGCCGGCTGGGCTTCTTGTGGGGCTGGAGGAAGTGGACCGCCCTTTGTTCACTCAAAGCGACCGCGCCGAGAGTCCTCTTCAGCGCCCTGGAGTCCATAGGTCTCTGAAAGCGTTTCAGAGCAGGGCTAGCCTGTGGGTTTTAGGCGGAGAATCTCGCGTAGGCTCAGCGACCAAGCCTGGCCTTCGCGCGCCCCCTGCTGGCCCGCCGTGGGTCCGTCAGCACGCGAGCTCGGCGGCGGCGGCCGGGTCTCAGATCCGGGGAAACCCTACCGGGGAAACCTCGAAGCGTGACGTCATCGCCAACGGTGACGTCACCGGGCCCCCGGGGAGTGCGGGGGATCCCACGGAAGAGGCTTCCCCGGGACGACGCGAGCGCGGGCCGGGAAGTCATCGGGAGCTCTGGCGCGGCTTCACTGCCCCCTGTTCCTGCCTCGCAGGTCCCTCGCGGCCCAGGGTAAGGGACGCCCCCGCTCCGCCGGCGCCATGGGAAGGAGCGGGCGCCGCAGCTGCCCCCCACCGGCGCGCGCACGACTTGAGCCCCGCTGCAGGAAACCCCCGGCCGCGGGTCCCCGAGTGACGCTGGCGGCACCTGGGAGCGTGGCGCGGGCTCGGGACCACGCAGAGGAGCCCAGTGTCCAGTGAAGCTGTTGAGAACCCACCGCCCGCACCGCCGCCATGGTGATGTCCCAGGGCACCTACACGTTCCTCACGTGCTTCGCCGGCTTCTGGCTCATCTGGGGTCTCATCGTCCTGCTCTGCTGCTTCTGCAGCTTCCTGCGCCGCCGCCTCAAACGGCGCCAGGAGGAGCGACTGCGAGAGCAGAATCTGCGTGCCCTAGAGCTGGAGCCCCTGGAGCTTGAGGGCAGCATGGCTGGGAGTCCCCCGGGCCTGGCGCCACCTCCACCACCGCACCGCGGCCGCCTGGAGGCGCCGGCGCACGCGCATCCGCACGTGCACGTTCACCCGCTGCTGCATCACGGGCCCGCGCAGCCACACGCACACCCGCACTCTCACCATCACGCGCTGCCGCACCCGCCACCGCCGCACCTATCGGTGCCGCCCCGGCCCTGGAGCTATCCGCGCCAAGGTAAGTCCACTCTTCAGCTAGGACCTATCGCTGGCAGTAGGAGTGGGCGGGACCTCGGCAGGAGCAGACTCCCTGCTGAGGAGCGAGGCTTCCACCCGCAGCCCCCACGCACCCGGGAGGAGGGTTGGGCTGGGGCGGGCGGATGGCCAACGCTTCTGCGGGAGGCTGGGGACCGGTGGCCTCACCACCTCGGACGGCTTCTCGTTCCGCAGCGGAATCGGACATGTCCAAGCCACCGTGTTACGAAGAGGCGGTGCTGATGGCCGAGCCGCCGCCGCCCTACAGCGAGGTGCTCACGGACACGCGCGGCCTCTACCGCAAGATCGTCACGCCCTTTCTGAGCCGCCGCGACAGCGCGGAGAAACAGGAGCAGCCGCCGCCTAGCTACAAGCCGCTCTTCCTGGACCGGGGCTACACCTCGGCGCTGCACCTACCCAGTGCCCCGCGGCCCGCAGCCCCCTGCCCTGCCCTCTGTCTGCAGGCCGACCGCGGCCGCCGAGTCTTCCCCAGCTGGACCGACTCAGAGCTCAGCAGCCGCGAGCCCCTGGAGCACGGAGCTTGGCGCCTGCCGGTCTCCATCCCCTTGTTCGGGAGGACTACAGCCGTATAGAGGGGCGCCCGGCGTCCTGGGCCCCACCGGCGGACTCCTGGCCTGACTGCGGGGCTTTTTAAATGCTTCCCTTGGACTGCGGGGTGTGGGGGGGAGGGATTTCTTACCCCGTTTGTTACATTTTGAGGATAATAAAGGTGTGTGATCTGCTTTGGTACAAGCGGAAGGGACACCCGCTGCTTGCGCCCGAGGTTCTGGTGACCAGCCATGCCCGGGGCCTTCGCAGGAAGGGACCTGATCCCGCATTTTCGCTACAAGCTGGCCTGACCAGAAACTGGTTCATCTGGGGGGCCTCAAACTCCATTTAGCCTGTCTTTGAGATCAGGGTTAGGGCTCCCGCTGGAAGCAGGTGCTGGGCCCACTGCACCCTCTGTGGTAGGAGGAATTGGGAATGGGATTAGCTCAGGCAGGCAGCCCAGGCCAGATCAGCCCCTGGAGGCCCAGAGCAGCAGGCCCGAAGGGATCTGGATTTCTTTATTAACAGACATGAGCACGACCCGTTACAGAAGTTTGTGCTTTCCAAAAAAACAGTTACTGAAAAAGGAACCCAAGCAAAGAGGAAGGAATTGGGAAGGGGCCACCCAACCCCTGGGCCCCAACCATAGCCCTGACTTGAATCACACCTAGGGCCTAGGGCCTCCAGCCTGGGACCTGCCCGGCAGGAGAGGGCGGGGAAGCCGAGGGGCCCCAGCTGGGCCTGCTACTTCCTTTGAGTCAGGCAGGAAGGGGTCAAGAGAAGGGCAGGGAGGGGGTCCCAGGGAGCCAGAGCCCACGAGCCATTTATTGCCATGTTTTAAAATTCGTGCAAAATATCTGAAGCCCTGGACAGAGAATACAAAGTGATATTTTTCCGAGAAACATAAAACTAGGAAAACAGGTGGGGGCACGTTTTCCCACTGGAGCTCTCCCCACACCAGGCCCCAGGCCTCCACCCCGCCAGCTGAGCGGGGAAGTCTAAGCTACAATCTGGACTCGGTGGGGAGGGGTGGAATTTGCAACAGCGTCTCAACTACCAACGGGAAGAAAACCAGTCAACTGTACAAGTCTCCTATCAATTTTAAAAAAAAGAAAAGAAAAGCTGTAAAAGGCCCTGTGGGTAGGGAAGCAGACAAGTCCCCGGCCAGGACCAGAATCCAGAGTGGGTGCCAGGCGGAGCTGCTGCAAATGCAGGCGCTGTGGGCCGTCTGGCCAGAGGCCGGCGCAAGTGGGTAGCCTTGGTGAGGGCAGTCTTGGCGAGGAAGCCAGAGGGCAGGCACCACTACTAATCACCACCCTCGAAGCCCTCCTCCTCTTCTGGTACTGGGTCTGCATCCCAGCAGGTGATGTCGATTTCTATGATTTGGGGAGAGGACAGAAGTTAAGATGACCAGCAGATCCATGACTGTGTCCCCCCAACCTCCAGGACCTGTGCCAGCTGTTTTGTGCAGGGGATAATGCTGACCCACACTCAAACCCCGGCACCCTCACCTGAATTCCTCCCCATTATCCATCCCAGTACTACCTGGAGGCTTGTTGTAGAATACAGGAGGTGGTGCCTTTGCACACAGTTCTTCTGATTGGGCAAATTCCTCCTCCTGTGATTGACTGAAGTACCCTTCACTGGCCTGCAGGAGAAAAAGCCCCGTCACTAGGCCCCACCTACCAGGACTAGTGCTGACCTATCAGGACTGAGCCAGTTTCCTCAGCAACCAATGATCCCATCAGTGGTTGCCAAGGAAACATGGATGCCTGCCTTGGGAACAAAAGCAGAGCTGGCCCAGGGAGGGGGGAGTGGAATGGAGCTTCCCCCAGTAATATGGGTCACAGAGAAAGGTGGGTACTGCTGCAAGCAAAATCAGCCTCCTGCTGGAGCCCTCCCCATTCCCATCGGGCTGCCCATGCCCCACCTGGGTCCCTTCCTTCTGGGTGGTCTCGCCATTGGTCAGCAGATGGGGTTCTGGCTCTAGCTCCTGCTCTGGCTCTGGCTCCTGGTCCACCTCCTCTAGAGTGGTGGGCAGAGTTGGGGCCTGGGGAGCAGCCAGGGGTTCCCCTTCTATTTCCTCCTCTGGGTCACAGAAGGTAGCTGGTGGCTCAGGCAGCTCATCAAAATTGAGAAGGTTGGCACAGCTTTCACCTGCTGGTGGCAGTGGCTCCTGAGCCACCTCATCCAGCAGAGGCACCTCTGCCAGGGCGACCTCAGAGCCTGAGGGTGGTGTGGGGGCCCTAGGCTCAGCAGGGGGTACTGAGGCCCCTTCCCCATTGCCAGGCCATAGGTCATTGAGGCTGGCAGTGGCAGCGGTGACATTGTTGGCAACAGTGGTGTCAGCGGTGGCAGTGGCAGTTTCAATGGTGTCAGCTGCATGGGTGTCGGCTACTGAGGGGTCAGCTGTGGTAGGTTCCACAGGGGCAGCCAGGACAGCCTGCTCTGGAGACTCCACAAACATCAAGTCCTCCAAGGGGCTGCCTTGCCCGGGGGGAGGCTCCTGTGCCTGAGGGGCCTCCTCCATGGGGCTGGCCCAGGCCTGAGGAGCGGCTGCTTCTCTGGTCTCCTTGCTGGTCTCTTCTCTGTCCAGGCTGGGGCCGGGCTCCTGGGTCTCTGTGACCAATAGAGGAGACATGTACAATCAGATCCCTGGAGGGAAGGATGGAGACCCTGATGGGCTGCTCTATAATACCCTGCCCATCCGCCGACAAGTGGGAGAGTCTGAGACTTCTGGGAAAGAACACCTTCACAAAGACCTCCACATAGGGCCCACTTCAGCACCAACTGCACCCCATTATCCCTTTACTTAGTGTCTCTGCAGCAGCGCAGGGAGGGAGGAAGGCTCAATTCCCACTTAAGACATGAGACACTGTGGTTTAGAGTCAGCCGGACCACAACACCAGGACTTTCCCTGCAGCCCCTTGCAGGGCAGTGCAATCTCGGTGATAGGGGGTCCAGATCCTGCCAGGGAGTTGTTACCTTGGCAACCTAAGGTTCCTGGCCCAGGGACTGATGGGAAATCCAGTGCAGGTGGGCCCCCTCTTACCTTGGGTGGGTGGGGGTGGCGGTGGCAGTGGTGGAGGCTGTGAGGATGTGACCTCATCCAAGGCCCGCTCAATCTGCTCAGTGACAGGGGTGGAGGCTGTGCTTGAGTCAGATGGGCTCCGGGCAGGAATGGGGGTGGGTGCCATCCTCCGGTGGCTGTCCAGGTGACTGCCTGTGGAACAAACCCCCAGGTTGGTCAGTGAGGGTAGGGGAGCCAGGTGGGACCAGGATTGTTCACCTTGGGGCCTGGCCAGCACCTCATCTTTGGAGTCTGGGTGGGGGCTGGGAGCTCCCCAGGTCCCTAGGGACCAAACCACAGCTCCAGACCCTGCAAACCAAGCCCCTGGGGGCCAGCGCCCCACAAGGCTAGGGATAAGAGGCAAGGCAGTACCTGCTCTGGGGACAACACCAGAGATCAGCAGTCAGGCTGGGGGAGTGAGGGTGAGGGGGCTGCTGGGAAGCGGGGCCCTCCTTACCCCCCCACCGAGGCCTGGGGCTGCTACCTACATGGGAGGGAGGAAGAGAGGTTTGGGGTGCGGTGACAGGTGATATAGGGAAAGGGAGTCCGTGGAGGGGAAGAGGAGGAAGAGGAGGAGGAGGAAGGCCCACTGTCCGATGCCTTTATGAAAGGGCAGTACGGACGACCTGCCGAGAGAGACAGACAGAGAAAGAGACAGAGGACAAGAGAGGGTCAGTCTCCCCTACCCCCGCCCCAAGGCCTTACCAGACCTCGGGGCTGGCCCTGGATGTCCAAGCTGCCTTCAGCCAGAGCACATTTAGCCAAGCTGGGCCATAGCCTCAAGCCATCTGATGCCTCCCACCAGCACCAGATACAGACAACACAGCCACACCAGAAGCCTGCCACACACAGCCAGCCTCTCTGAGCAGTAGCACAGCTGGGGACAGCTGCCCCACCCCTGGGACCCCAGCAAAGGGCCCAGCACACAGTGATGCAAATACTCAGATCAGCAGACAGGGAGTGCAAGGGTATGCTTCAGGGGGAGGTGGAAGCTGCACAGGTAGAAGCCAAACAGGGAACCCTGGGCACACGCTCCAGGCTGCTCAGACTTGGGGTCAGGGGAAGAGCCCACCCCACATGCACCCACAGCCCCGCAGGCCAGACCTAGTCCCACCAGCAGGGTTGCTGCCAGTGACCTGTGCCCATGCCACAGCTGTGCAACTGGCTCCAGCACTACCCTTTGCTTAGCCAAGGCCTGACATCCACACTGCCCGCTCCCGCCCAGGGTGCTGCCACCTGGAAGCCATGGTGGACGCACGCTGTATGAGCAGTCTTGCCTTCTCCAAGGGATCCTTGGGCAAGGCTTCTCTTCCAAGAAAGAGTCCCAGAGGGGCCCAGGGCCCTAACCTGAGGAGTGGAGGTCTAGGAGGGATGGGGCCAAGGACTACCTGTTCGATGGTTGAAGGGCGAGGGCACATCACAACTGCCCGCAGAGGCTGATGCAACTCGTTCCTGCTGTTTGAAGAATTCCCGTGGGTTGTCAGGCCGCTGGGCAATAATAGCCGCTGCCTCCTGAGAGCACCAGGAAAAGATTAGGGCTGGGCTGGGCAAGGCTAAGGCAGCCCTCACCCATCTCACCTGCCCTATAGCTCAGCTCTCACCTCCACCTCCGACTCTGATTTCTTCATCTGGGTCTCTTCCTCCTCATCCCGTTGGTCACCCTAGAAACCAAAGGGACAGTGTCCTGTGTCCTGGGCACTCGCCCCCACAGGGGTTCTTGGCCATGTCTCTTCCATGATCCAACAGGAAGGTCTCAGAAGTGGTACCTCTGTTCCCCTTACCATCCATCCAGCCATGAAGGCCTGAAGAAGGCCTTTGATCAGGTACTGGGCACCCTGCTTACGCACCCCCAAGTCTAACCAGGCACACACAGCCATCTAAAAACACCTCCTTGTTTTATTTAGTTAGTTAATTAACTGTTTGGGGTACTGGGGGTTGAACTCAGGGGCACTTGAACCCTGAGCCTCATCCCCAGCCTTTTTTTGGATATCATTTATAGAGACAAGGTCTCACTGGGTTTCCAAATGCCTCACTTTTGCTGAGGCTGGCTTTGAATTTGAGATGTTCCCGCCTCAGTCTCCTGAGCGGTTGGGATTATAGACATGCGACACCGTGCCCGGCTTAAAAACACCCCCTTGTT